ATTATTATTATTTATTAACAGTAGGTAAGATGGCAAAGTCCATGTGGACCAGTTGCTTCAATAATTAAGCCAGTTACTACTTCTGGAAGGTGGAACAAAAAGTAAAGGAACTTCCAGCTTCACAGTCTTCAATTCTTAGTTGTATTATATATAGCTCATGAGGTCTCTAGGTTGTTGCTGGGGTATAACCCACAGTAGTCAAGAGCTCTGGTTCTAAAGACCAAGCGGTGTGGGCTCTAATTCCTTTACCCTGCTGCTTGCCAGCTCTGTGAACTTGGACAAGTGACTTGATCTCTATAAGCCTTGGCTTCTACAACTACAAAATTAGGGTAACAACCGAGCCTACCTTATAGAGAGAGCAGTGCTGAGGAATACCACGTGCAGAAAGCTGCGCACGGTGCCTGATCTTAGCAGAGCTCAGTTAATATCGGCTACAATTTCATGTCACTCTAAAGAACTGAATTACAGTTTGGGTCCCACAATCCAAGGTTTTCACCATTTCTTAGAAATGCAGTACCCACACTCCATTACTGCATGTGCACCTGACGTGATTCTTGGCTGAGGCAGCGTTTCTCAGCCTTAGCACTACTGACAGTTTGTGCGGGAGAACTCTTTCTTGTGGGGGATGGTCTTGTGCATGTAGGATGTTTAGCAGCATCCCTGGCCTGTAACACTAGATGCCAGTAGCAACTCCCCTCTCTCCCCCACCACACACACACCAAGGATGACAACCAAAAATGTCTCCAGACCTTACCAAGTGTCTCCGGGGGAAAGGGGGGGAGGGAGTTGAGGGGGGCAAAATCATCCCCAATTGAGAACTACTGGGTTAAAGTAAGAGAGGGCAGGTCCTGCCAATGCTAGCTGCTGTTCTTGCTCAGTTCTCTGGGCACTCCTGATCTGGAAGGGGAGATGCGATCTGCAGACAACTACTGGAACCTGAGGCAGCAGAGGATGAGGACAAACCAGCATGGCCGCCTAGGTCACACAGGGCTCCTGAGGAGGCGGCACCACCTCTAACCACAGCACCAAAAGCTCCAGGGAGAAGACCCATTTTGGCCAGGCTCTGTTATAATTACTGCTAATAACAACCAATCCCTTCTTGTCACACACATTATCTCATTTGTCATACCCTGATAAGAATGCTCTAATTAATGGCCCTGAGGTCCCAGCTAATAAGCACAAAGCTGAAATCAGATCCAGACTCTGCCTCCAAGCCAGGGATGCCTCCCATCCTATCCTCACTTGTCCCCAAACATTTACTGAGGGCCTTTACCATGGAAGCAGCCCTGTTCTAGACCCTGGGTGTGGAAAACTAGACACAACTCCATCCCTGTTCCCAGGGCACTCAGAGCCCAGCAGAGGAGGCCTGCACATATAGGAAGTCTTCTGACAATGTGCAAGGACCACAACATCACATGCGCCCCAGGCAGGGGCAGAAGCTGATAGGTGCAGATAGGGACACAATTCCCAA